TGTAAATAATCGAGTCTGGACCAGACAATCCAGTGATGGACATCATGCACATAAACTAATACGAAATTTAATTTGATAATTTGGACTTCATTCCTGCATTTCTACAGTGACTCAATGGACTTGTTAATGTTGCTGCTCCAATGAAATGACTGAGTGCATGTTGCCCATACACCTGTTATTAAAATTCACTGTCCTTTTACACAATGGTGGTTTGTCGATGAGTATCATTTCTTACTTTCACAACAACGCTCTTTGTATAATATCAGTCAAAGTTTACCCAGACTTGCAACAAAGGTAAAACTCGCAATTTATCTTCTATATTTGCCTGTTAGCCTGACCAGATCTACTTTTGGTCAATTGGGATACGATACTTGGTACTTTGCCTTTTAGCCTAGTCAAGATACGATAAGTCAGCAAGCCTGACCACCCGATCCTGTTGGTCACATGCTAGGCCTGGGTTGCTAAAGACCAACTGTAACCCGGATCTTCACGGCTTCATAAGTGTAATACACTAAACGCCAAAGAAACGTTACCCTCCTTCCTTAACGACGGAGCTACCTATCTACAGAACCTCTGTTCTATTACGGCCATATTTCTCGGTTCTCGTAAAATCCCTAGCGGCAAAAAGATCGCAACACGAATTATCTCCCTCTCTCCAATCAGAACACGTGTTACATCGACTTAGATTCAACTTGACTAACACAAGCAAATGTGGCCACAAATATCCCCCACGTCCACTGCACACAAGACTTGGTCTTGTCCTAGGGCGGTGACCCCAGTCTGTCTGCAGCCCTGAATAAGAAATCTTATAACCGTGACAACGGTGGCATCCTGATTGCCTCCAATCACGAGCGTTGGCAACAGCAGAGGTTGTATGTCGAGAATGATCCATCTGCACCATCCCACCCCAGTCTGTCTGGCTCTTTCTCTCATCGTTGGCAACAGCAGCTGTTAAGTGGCTCTTTCTCTCTCTTCAGCTGTTAATCCTGGCGTATTTCTCGTACTTTTGTATCCATATCATGCATTCTAGTCTCTCTTTATACCCTATAGAATCATTCTACATGTGAAATGGATGCAAATACTGCTTGAATATTGCTGCGTATTAGCGATTGATATTGCTATGTGTAAACAGAAAATGGAAAAATGTTACGTTGCAAGCATGTTAACAAAGATAATTTTAGATGTTCCTAAACATTTTTTCACAATATCAAAGACACGTTTTACTTGTTTTTACTAATGCAAATTAGCAGAAAATGTTTTCAAAGAATGAAATCATAGGAGTGATTATTTTACAATTTTACACACTCTACAACGGTCGTTTCTTGTTTAAATAGTTGAAAAATGATGACTTTAAATGGTTTATCTTTGTCTCAAAGCAGAATTTTATTTCAACCTTTATTTTGGGCATCATGTTACTGGTTTTTCGGCATGGACGAAAATAGGACAATTTAACTCTTCTGAAAAGATACATTTCACCTAAATATGAATGCATTTGAGAATATTTTTTCGTGATTTGCATAAAGCTGTGTTGTTAAGCTTTCATGTAAACTACAGTGCACTCTGTCTAATTCGGACCGGCTAAAAAGTCCGAATTAGACAGCAGTCCGAGGTACACAGACAGAGTCCGAGTTGGACAGAGTGCACTGTAATACCTTCTAACATATCTTTGATAGTTTTGAAGTAATTCATAAAGGTAGGAGGGTAACGTTTCTTTTGGCGCTTAGTGTATATTATGATGGTTGTCCTGATGAAGCGTGCCAGGAGATGCTGTGTGCAACAGATGCAGAGGATGAGCTTCGATCTACCAGTCGGTGAGGCCTGAACTCAATGGATTCGTTCCATGAACCGAGCTCGGCACCACTGTCGTAGGTCATCTGTGTTACGAGAGCCGGTTTGCTTAGTCTGCTTTCTGAAACCGTTGACAGCTGTATCAGAACGATCAATAAGAGTTGATAGTAAAGACAGAGAAAGACTACTTCCCTCTTTACAAGATCGTTTCACCACGATAATCGCATGTCTTCGTTAAAGCAACGGAAAGTGCTCACGTTTTAGCGCTGATATAGAAGCGCTAAAAGCGGCGCAAAACAATACTCACTCTTTCACTGAAGGACAAGCTGGTGTAAACTTATCATTGATCCTGGAAGAACGGCATAACTCACGACCGTTTGGTATCAGCGGCTGACCGGTCGAATACCAGCGTAACATTATGTTGATGTGATTTCGCAGTCATCATCGACTATGTTGTTCCCGTATAATCATTTCATCATGCCCCGCCGTTCTTCACTCATGTCATCGGTTCCCAATTGCATAGATGGATGCTTATGATGTTGATCACTGGATTGTCTGGTCCTGACGATCTCTCGGTGATTGTAGAAAGGTGTAGAAAGGAGTCACTGAGTATGTTTTTTAGCAATATTCCAGCAATATTGCGGCGATGGACACCAGAAATGGACTTCACACATTGTACCTATATGGTGAATCGAACCCGGGTCTTCGGCGTGACGAGCGAACGCTTTAACCACTAGGCTACCCCACCTCCCTAGCATCATAATTGATGCATGATATGTCATCGAGCTAGCGCAACAAAACAGGTATTATTCCGGACTTGTGCAAGCCAGCACGCACGCACGCACACGAATACGACAAGCACATATGGCAATTACAATATATGTATCTTGAACGTGACTTTGAACTCAACTCATATAACCTATCCTCCCACCACCTCCAGGTGTACCCGATCCAGCATGAAGCCCGTGAGAATAGGCAGCTAAATAGTTAATTATGGCACTTATCAAATGAAAAGCGTATTGATTGTAACACGGCACTTCACGATGCAGGAATCCGCCCCCTGCACAGGTGGCTGCAGTCGACGAAGTTAGCCGCTGACGTCGCGGTACCTACTCCGATAAACCCATCTTGTCAAATATGGATGACTCGATTTTAATCAGCAGTGAAGCGGTAAGCGGTATGGGAATAGTTGTCATAAACTAGAGGCTGTTTGGAGAACTGCAACTGTGGTGTTAGGTCAAGTGAGTGAGTTTAGTTTTACGCCGCTTTTAGCAATATTCCAGCAATATCACGGCGGGGAACACCAGAAATGGGCTTCACACACTGTACCCATGTGGGGAATCAAACCCGGGTCTTCGGCTTGACGAGCGAACGCTTTAACCACCTGGCTGCCCCACCGCCCCTGTTAGATCAAGATAGGTAATGCTGCCATTTTAGGAAGCCTGCATTGTACTCCTTTGTAACAGTAACTTGAGATATAAACAGAATATAACAATATATAACCAGAATATATTATTATACAAGAGTAACGACATAATATAACTAAATAACCAGAATATAACATCACATAACCAGTGTATCACTACGATATAACTAACATATAATAATATAATAACTAACAAATAACTTTATATGATCAGTATATATAACAAGCACATACCATTATATAACAACATGTATTCAGCATATAACCAGTACATAACAGAAGGCCCAGATCCAGGTTAGAATTTATTTTCAGTAACCCATGCTTGTCGTAAGAGGCGACTAAGGGGATCGGGTGGTCAGGCTCGCCGACTTGGTTGGCATATGCAATCGTATCCCAATTGCGTAGATCGATGCTCATGATGTTGATCACTGGAGTGTCTGGTCCAGACTCGATTATTTACAAACCGCTGCCAAATAGCAGGGGTGTTGCTGGGTGCGGCGTTAAACATCAAACAAACATAGCAGAATATAACCAGTTTTGAAAATATGTCATCCAGGTACAAAGAATTCTTATGATTCAAAATCACGCCATGGTTCAAGTATCATATTCCAACGAGATTTCAAAGGGGACATAACTCCAATGCTCATTTGGAGCAATCGTGTTCTGAGGATTGGTGATTTACCACGCCTGATACATGGATATCTTGGCTGTCAGTACATCTCTAAACTATGCATTGTACAGTGCGCACTTTGAACAACATTTCAGTTTTAGAACGGTTTGTCACATGTGAGGGAAAGGTGAGTGAGTGTGTGAGGTTAATTTACGCCGTTTTAGCAATATTCCAGCAATATCACATCACGGGGCACCACAAATGGGCTTTATAAATTTAACAAAAATGGGTACATTAATGCTGGTAGAGGAGAATAAAAAGTGAACATTACATCAAACATGGCTGTGTTACAGTGTTGTCATTTCTTAACAACAAATTGAATTCAGGAATTCTCAAATCTATCGTTAATTGTGAAATTGTCTAATCTAATCTTAATATTTGTTGCACAAGCGAAAAAACATGCTCTCTTCATTGCACAGACTAACTACAAGAGTGAGTGAGTTTAGTTTTACGCCGCTTTTAGCAATATTCCAACAATATCACAGCACGGAACACCAGAAATGGGCTTCACACATTTTACCCATGTTGAGAATCGAACCCGGATGTTCTGCGCCACGAACGAACGCTTTAACCATTAGGCTACCCCACCGCCCCAATCTGATACTACAGGATGGAGGGATGGCCCAGTGGTTAACACCACGAAGTTACATCACCGCCCCTGTTCGAGGAAATTATTTCATGTCTAAGGGGTGTCCAGCTTTAGCTGAACCCACTTGTATGGTGATGGCAACAGAGAACCATAGTTCGAATCCGGGATTGGGAACCACGACTACAGTTTATGAAAAGCTTATTTGCTTATTGGCTTCTGTCTACAGAGTGGAATTGGTACGCGACAAAACTATGTGGTGACCAGTTGAGTACAACATCGCGAAGGTTCATATTCAGCGTTCTGCTTCAGCAAGTATTCTACAGTCTAAAGGCTCTATCCCTTGGGAGCAGCATAAATAACAACTTGTCTTATTCATTTCCAATCATTCATCCGTGTATCCGTGCACATATCCATTAAATCAAGTCAGAAATACTTTGATGACTTCGAATGCATATCACATTACTTTACATATTAAAGAGGTAAAACTGCCTTTTTCTGCATCTCATTTGAAGACCCATTGATCGAGTCAGTCGACATCAAAGGTTGTGGATTGCTGCTGAAAGGTGTTACAGTACAGTATAGTAGTCTCGGAGAGACCTTTGAGTCGTACACATCTAACCATGTCGGACACACCACCCTCACCGACAATTAGAAACACTCTAATCAAGTGCCCGGCTTGTTTACGTCTCTTTGACGAGTCCAGAGTTCCGCATCGGCTAGCGTGTTGTCTCCGCTCTGTGTGTGAGCTGTGTTTGAAGGACCACTACGCTGAAGGGACCCTGCAGTGTCCACTGTGCCGTCAACGACATCATTTACCCAACGACGTTGGCTCCCTACCACCAGATACACTCGTGCAAAAATTCATGGAGGAACGGAAGGTCAGGACCGGAAGTCGTCTGCCGTGCACGGATTGCCCTGACAACCACGAAGCCGAGTTCAGATGTGAGGATTGCTGTGTGTATCTGTGTAAAGAATGTCATACCGCTCACGCCAGGAGTAAATTTAACCTGAAACACAAGGTCAATGTTCTGGAGAAGTTGAGAGGAAGAAATCTAAATGAATTCCGAGTCCGGCATAAATGCAGTGAACATCATCTCTCACAAGACTTCTTCTGTAAGACATGCGACGTGGTCATCTGCATGTCTTGTTCTTTTGATGCTCATGACAAAAATAACGGACACACTGTTGTCACGGTAGAGGACGCGCGCGCAGCCAAGGCGCTGGTCATAGAGGACAATTTGACAAAGCTTGAGGAAAAGGCTTTGAATCTGGGAAAGAAGGTAGGAATGCTGGAGAAAAATGTAGACAGAGTCGTAACGGCTAGACAGGAGGCCAGGCGGACGATCCTGGCCACATTTGATAAACTACTGGAGGAGCTGAGGTTGCGGAAAGCTGTAATTCTCTCCGATGTCGAGGACAAGTCGAACAGGTTTCTCATGCAGGCTGAAGATGCTCTGGAATCAAACAGGATACTTCTGAACCGAATCGGTTCATCGATACCGCACATGAGAGAACTAAGAAGCCAGGCTGACAAGACGGAGGACCTACAACTGATGGCGTCCTCGGCCGCCTCGCTCACTGCTATGCTGGAAGAAACGCCACTTCACCTTGACTTTGCACGTTCAGGTGTCAGCTTTGTGCCGGCCAATTCAAGCCAGCTGATTTCGACTATCCAGATAACGGGCCTAGTGAGATCTGTTGTCTTCTCCCCCATAGAGAAGCCCAGGCATGTGGAGGAGGCAGACATGTATAATGTTATCTCTCTGAAACCAGTGGAGATACCTCAAGGTAGGTGAGAGATATGGACCTCGTGAGGGAGTGAGTTTGGAGTAAGACTGCTTTAAACAGTTCTGTGGGAGGAAGTCCCAAGGAGCTGTAGGTCTTTCTGAAGCCGTTTAAACGGTCCTAAAACTCATCTCAAAGATTCAGACCAACGGTCATAAGTACCTGGTACTTCTAAGGGACACAATTCTGCATCACAATTTGAGGCCCTTGGACGACTGGTTCACCAATACGCTAATAGACTTCCTGATAACCATAGACTTCAGAGGTGATCAGGAAGAAAAATTACTTGTGTATATAAAGGTAACGCTTAGATTGCAAGAATGAAAACAGTTTTCTTTGTAAACTGCCAAAACGTGCAATCGGTTTCTGCTCAAAATGCCATCGTAAAACGCACAAGGAACAAGGCAAAACAGATATCATAATCATAATTTATCCAGAACAAGGTTAACACAACCAGGTTGCCCGAAATAGAATTTCTGTAAATTATATGCATTTCAAAACAAACGATTATATTTTTTCAGAGTTGATTGTTTATTATTCCAGTCACCTTTGAGGATGCATATATCGGGGCAAAGGCAGGAGTTTTCTGTGAGTACTCGATCTAGAATATATATTAGTTGACTCAAGAATTATCCACTTGAACCTTATTTACATTTGAGAAAGCTGATGTAACCATGTTAGATATCGGGAAGTTAATACACAATCCTATATATATACAAGGTATATCCTCTATCTGAAATATTTGTATTTAGGCCTGGCTAATATGAACGATAATCGGAAATATCGTCCACAGGGAACAGCATTCATGCTTATAGATATCAAAATTGTGTTATAGATAATATCGTACGTTAACTTTAGTGATAAAAAGAGTTTTAATTTTCTCACACAATATGCAATGTAAGGACTTTATTCATGGTTTACTTCTAAATTATGTTCAGGATGCTGTTTTGTTAATAACCCATGCAAAAATACGTCACCACTCACCAGTGATGTGAAATATATGCATGTCTTTCAGACATTTGGCATTTTTGCTCAATGTTACGTTTCCGATATTTATCGATAATCGATCGATATTTAGTTAAAGATTATCGATCAATGTGATCTATATCGATAGCCAGGCCTATTTACATTAGATTGCAAGTGCATTCATTAATATGTACAGTGACACTGCAAAGAGCGTTGGCAACAAGGTTTGATGGTGACTAAAAATGAAACAAGATATTGTTATTTTTACAGTGAGGGGTGGTGGGGTAGCCTAGTGGTTAAAGCGTTCGTTCGTCACGCCGAAGACCCGGGTTTGATTCCCAACATGGGTACAATGTGTGAAGCCCATTTCTGGTGTCCCCCGCCGTGATATTGCTGGAATATTGCTATAAGCGGCGTAAAACTAAACTCACCCACTCACTATTTTTACAGTAATGTATTTTGTACGGGTATTATATACTCATGCCAATAATTGTTGTCACCCTCCCCCGGCCCAACCCCCCACACACCACACACCCCACCCCCTCTCCAATTAAAAATTGAAGGGGTGACAACCATTATTGGCATGAGTATAGTTGTAAAATCTGCTGTGTTTCGGCGAATGTTTTCAGCCCAGTAACGAATTATTAAAGTTTGTAGTTTTTCCATCAAATTCAGTTTTCTAGACATTCTTTTGCACATCGCGGCTTTAAGTCAATAGCTGTCTAAATTTTCATGTGATTATATACTCAATGTCTGCGCAGCGCCTTATTTGGAGTGGGATCCATCTACTGTCAGTAGTGACGTCACTGTATCTGGAACCTTGGTTACCAACGTCATACCAAAACCCCCTTCCCGAGACGCCGGAAGTCGTCTGAAGGCTTATCGACACGTGATGACCTCCAAACCCGTGACCCTTGCACCCTGTCAATGCGCTCTTTACCAGCTCAAGGTGAGATTCTCAGTCAATGAAGCCCCGAAGGAGAATAACATGATATTTGAGACAGCTCTGACAAGTAAACCTGTCGATGCCAACTGGTTCAAGTCAACGGGACTGAGCGTCTGCGTCGTAGTGTGCGAAAACCACGAGGGTCAGCTGTGCCTCAAGGTCATCTATGACGGCAAAATTCTAACAGATGAGCCTCTCATCGAGAACGAGGCAGGGGAATCACGTGATCTACTGCTATGCGTCGTATTGGATAACGACAAGAAGAAGAATGCATGTCGTCGATGTCGCTGATGCCAGGATTGTTCGGTCTATCACTGATATAGAGCTGGACAAGCCGATGTGGGTCATGATGGCGCTAGTGTCTCCACAGTGGGCGGAGTGTACAGGCCAGCTGATGTCTGGTTGCTGCGCCTCGCTGACGCACGACGTCACCAACCTTCTGTCCTCTCTCTGTTAAAACTACAGATGTTGGGTACAGTCAGCACCTTTATGGGCCCTGAACTTGGAGGATCAGTTCGTTCTCCTCTGATAGTGTGGTTGCGTGTTCTTATTGTGGATCCAAAATAGTATAAGGTTTGGTTTAGTAGCCAATGTATACACAATTTGATCGGCATAGATGGAGATATAAAATATATTTACATATATTAAAATATAAAAGGTCAATTTATTTCGAAACTTTTGAAATTGATTATTCCATCCATATATTTTAATATTCAATATGTACCGGCATATATTTCAACATATATATTTAATTGTCCAATTTTGTTAAAACACACCATTGCACGAAATTGGAAAAGGTCGTTCAGGAACAAATCCGTTGAAAACTATATTTTTGCAGTAGCATCTTTTTTTGCAGATGTACGTCTAATAAAAATGATAAAATTTTAATATTTTGATAATTTTAATAAGTTCTACCTTTTCTGCCCGCAAGAGATGGATAGTCATAATCAGAGACACTATCAGCGCCGATAGAAAAGATTTGGGGAATTCCAATGTATAAAATGTGTCGAAAACGTCGAAAAAGGCAAATATGTTAATAACCTTAGATAAGACCCATCAATAATTGTGTATTATACGACGAAATAAATACATTTTAGGTCAGATTTAAATTTAATGAAGAAGTATTTTTTGAGTTTATTGTTTTCATGAAAAATCGCTAATGTAAGGTACTTGTTTAAAATTAAACATATGATAAAGTCTACTGTGAGGTAAGGTATCTTTTGTACTTCAGTGTAGCTATTGTAACAATGACACGAAAAGGTGAAGGGCATCAGGTTTTCGGCTGTTAAATCATGGCTAAGACCTTATACAGAATCATTTCATCTGGTAATGTTTAACTCTTATAAGCTACAATATAGACAAAATCTATTAATGTTGCCCTTCATATCATGCATGACTTTGATGAATATTCATCAACGCATTGTTTGCTTATGCATAATAGAGTGTGTTAGTGTTCGTTGTTTTGATATTCATTTTAACAAACAACCACGCCTTTCCTCGTTAACTCACTGGCTTTATCAACTTACTACCTAGTCAATTATGTTAATCATGTTGTTTTCTTGGTTACATTCAGTATATATACACCCCCTCCACTTCACGTTACAGGGGTAGCCTTGTGGTTAAGCGTTCGCTCGTCACGCTGAAGACCCGGGTTCGATTCCCCACATGGGTACAATGTGTGAAGCCCATTTCTGGTGTCCCCCGCCGTGATATTGCTGGAATAGTGCTAAAAGCGGCGTAAAACTAAACTCACTCACTCACTCACACACGTTACATCCATTCTTGACAACGGTACAGGAATCTGTATCGAACATCGCACTTACGAAATAAAGGAAGTTGTTATCCGTAAAGATTGTCAAAATAACCGGTTATAAACAAACTAAAACGTATGGGTAGTAGGGAAGCGTCAGGACAGATCCGCTTATCACGGGTTTGAATCCGTGGTTTATATGTGTATTCAACCATTGCCTGTGGAGGAAAGCCCATTCGTCTTTGCCGCGTTTGGATGGGATATTTTACGAATGCTTCACTTGCCTCACTGCCATTGTAAAGCGTACGTAAAATGACCATGTATTCATGAATTGGGCACCCGTCAACCTGCTGCTGTAGACAAGGTTTTCACTGGGTTTTTCACAGAGGGATGACTGTGCAGCATTATACTACCACTGGGCAAAGGTTTGAGATCATTCACTTGCAAAACAATCATAAAAGGAATAGCATTAATAGTGTTCATTACTTTGTAAAGCACGTGGTACACGTGCATTTAAATGTAACACATATACTATTCCAAAAAAGAAACGCATAACCCAGAAATCTGATGCGAAAATGTTGTATTTTCAAACATGTATAACTCGTCCACAAATAGACTTTAGGACATGAAGTAATCTGAATTTTTATAGCCAGACAGTGCATGCTCTTTGCTGCACAATTTCAACTGGAAGGTGATTTCTGTTGCGTTGTGGTGATGCCTTTTAATTCTTGTAAGAAATCTCATCCAAATCAACATTTTCAGGTAAAGTCGATTTTTCACTTGTGCAATAGTGTAAAATCATGTTATCAACACTTTTGTTACATATTTTGACGATTGTTTGTACACAATTCGTAATTAATAGATTTTAAAAATACAAAACGGCTATGCGTTTCCTTTTAGGGATAGCACATATATAGTTTAATAATTTAGTATCGTATTTATTTACTTATTGTCAGCAAGTCATGGATTAGAATGGGACCCCTTTATATGTGGGTTGGTTTGATTAGTTGATTAATGCCGCACTCAGCAATATTCCAGCTATGTGGCGGCGGTCTGTAAATAGTCGAGACCAGACAATCCAGTGATCAACAGCATGAGCATCGATCTCCGCAATTGGGGTATGATGACATGTGTCAACCAAGTCAGCGAGCCTGACCACCTGATCCCGTTAGTCGCCTCTTACGACAAGCATGGGTTAATGAAGATTAGTAATTTATTCTAACCCGGATCTAAAGGGGTCTTGTTCGTGGGTCCCCGGGCAACCGCCCAGCGTGCCTATGTGTTAAGACGGTCCGGAAATAAACGAGATTCACTTCATAGAATTGTCTTTGTGTTTCTGTTTCTCTATCAAATCGCTGGTTAATTTATTACTTTAATCGGCCGAATTTACTCGTGTTGGTGTTTGATATACGGACTCGGGATTTCACAAATATCACAATCTGAAAGAGCTGATCAGGACTGAGAAACTACTTCACACAAAATTCTTCCCCGATTCTGGGCTAACGCTTAAGACTCTGAACACTTACATACAATCTTAATAGTGACAAATAAAACCATTCAAACCTAACGGAGTCCTAGTGAAGTGGGAGAATCGGAACCTGAACCTGAGGAGATCTAGATTTGTTTCATTAAGGGCTTTAGCATTGCAGAAAGGGTTGGGTAGAAGGAAAATAATGTGGTTCAGGGACGGTGAGACAGACTATGAACCACACTGTCAGGTATAGTGACACACTGCCATGTCACAGGACTACTCCATCTCATAGAGCCACCATTGATGCTTAGGACCAATTCTTACCTGAAATCTCCATGAGAGTAAAATAAAAGGGAGGACAGCGGTGAAAATAATGTGGTTCGGGGACTGTGATACAGACTAGCCCGATTCATTAGCTTAAATATGTTCTTGTGATTAGAAATCTATGCATACTTGACCAAACACACAAACCTCAGATCAACCGTACCCTAGTTCGATTTATTCTTCAATGCCTTGATATATATAGTACATATAGGGTCAAGATCCTGTTAGCTGATTGTTTACAGAGTGCCGCCATATAGCTGGGATATTGCTGAGTGCCATATATATATGATTTTGTTTTGGCAATCTTTTTGTATCCGTGCAGCTGCAGGTTTACATGAGGTCGACCTATTTTTGCAGATAAGACAAAACACATGCTCGCTTCCTCGTCGACGTGCCATACTGGGAGTAACAACCCTACCTTATCTTCCATCATGCGTTGCACCAATCATTAGAGAAATTTTTACAAGCAACATAATTCCTAGCTTCAGGTATAGTCCGTTTGGCTCAAAATTGGACCGATGAATTGCAATCTACCTCGAAAACTAATAAACATATAATACTCAGTGAAACACTGATCATAATCAAAACATCAGACCAACTCTGTCATTTTTTTGCAGAATTTATGTCCTAAAAATAAATAAGTTGTTTAACAAACTATCATTAAAATTTTGACACAGTTCACTATTTCTTTGGTCAGTTTACGAGGGAGGAGTGCAGAGAAAGTTGATCACATCCTCCAGTGTACGTGAAGCACGCGCACAAGTGCCGGCAAAGTCAGTGGTTCATTTACCTGTGCTGTGCCGTCTCCATCCTTTCTCGCACACCTGGCTGTTCCTCTCTTTGCACTCCTCCCTCGTAACAAATAGTGAACTGTGTCAAAATTTTAATGATAGTTTGTAAAACAACTTATTTATTTTTAGGACATAAATTCTGCAAAAACCTCATAGAGTTGGTCTGATGTTTTAATTGTGATCAGTTTTTCATTTAGTGTTGTATGTATATTAGTTTTTGAGTTAGATTGTAATTCATCGGACCAATTTTGAGCCAAACGGACTATAGATTATTCTGTTTATTATTCAACTAGAGCATTTATCCAAAGCATAAACGCTTATGGCATTAAACGTGTCTGTCATACGTCATAAGGAATTGATGACGTTCGGTGGCATTGTCCTCAGTTATTATGCGAGTTACACTGGGTGTATCTACGGAAAATAGCACCAAGGGCAAGCACTGAATTGTTACCCAATGGTTTATATAAATGTCCATACAACCCAGCAGCCATAGTGCATCGCGCCCATGATAACCAAATACGGATAATTCATCTGAAGAAAATTTCTTTTTCCACTATCCGGGATTACTTGCCTGACTTCAATAAAAAGTGTTCAGTGGCGCCCTGCTTCTGCTGGCACCCAAACAAGTCGTAGTGCTAACCCATATTGGGAGTTTATAATACTCAGATATCCGACACATATGGGACTCATCGCTGTTTTTCAGTGTTCCAAGGTATCTGTTTTTCCGCTTTTTGGTTATGTCTATCGCTCGCCGCTCTCAGGACTATTCCAACTGCCTCTAAATGCACGAGCCTTGGCCTAACTGACCAGTGATTGATATCATGAGCATGATAACCACCCGTTGCGCCAAGTCCACAGCATAGGCTGCTTGGGATCTGTTCTATCACGGAAAACCCACGGAACCGCTGGGCGGTGGGTTAGCATAGTGGTTAAAGCGTTCGCTCGTCACGCCGAAGACTCGGGTTCGAGTCCCCACATTGGTACAATGTGTGGAGCCCATTTCTGGGATCCCACGTCGTGATATTGATGGAATATTGCTAAATCGGCGTAAAACTTAACCCACTCACTCACCGCGGAACTGGTGATTAGTGAACGCCTCATTCGGAATATCCTCACCATATAATGTTTGCAAAATAATACTGAAGATGAGGCGATAATAACATAGATATTTGCTTGTGTATTTATTTTCCTGATAATTATGATTACCACGGGTCGACTTATAGGCAGAATATCGTTGTTTAAAGTCACGTGATGCCACAGCTAGATTTACTTCCGTGTTGGGAAATGAGCACCGACTGACTTGCTCCCAGGCCACCCACAGCCTCCACCCCACAGCCTGCTATCTGTGTGGTGTTGATGTCGTAATATTGAGGACATCCCCCGATACACATCAGCCAAGATCAAATCGCCCTGCTTGCTTGTACCACCAAGGTAGTGGTTGAATGAATGAGTGAGTTTGCTTTTACGCCGCTTTTAGCAACATTCCAGCAATATCACGGCGAGGGACACCAGAAATGGCCTTCACACATTGTACCCTTGTGGAGAATCGAACCATGGTTTTCGGTGTGATATGCGAACGCTTTAACCATTAGGCTACCCCACTTCCACGGAGTGAGTGAGTGGGTGGGTGAATGGGTAGGTGAGTGAGGGTGGGTGGGCGTCTGGCAGGGTTTTGAGTGAGTGAGTGATTTTGATAGCAGATTGGGTGGATGGATGACCGTTCAACCAATCTTATGAATCTGAGTTCATGAATGTACAGATTTTATTAGTTTTTATTACATATTTCAATTTTGTTGCATTTCATTGACATATTTCCAGTTACTGTTATCGTTGACTATAACTGGACAAAGTGACAATACAGTTGTTCTTCTGCTTGGGTGAGTGAGTGAGTTTAGTTTTACGCCGGTTGTAGCAATATTTCAGCAATATCACGGCGGAGGACACCAGTAATGGGCTTCGTACACTGTACCCATCTGCTGCTTGGGATCACGATAGACAGTAGGTGTCGATCTGGAGCCATGATTAGCGAACCTACTACAGTCGGTGAGAACGCCGACAAGTCACATTATACTCATGTGGTGTGTAGAACACAGGAGCGACGATCTAAAACGTTGAGCACTATGCTAACCGGTGGTGGTGGTGGAATTGGGTTTAACGTCGTGCTTGAGAACATTTCGCTTATATGACGACGTGCATGCGTGTGTATGTGCATGTGCGGCTGCTTGTACTAGCCCAGACTTAAGCTGGTTTTATAGTGCTAGCCCACTGAGATACCATGCCGCAGTGAAGCATGAATA